TAGCTGTACTTATATCATTTGAGATGAAGGGTAGGATAAACGGGACCGTTCTATCGCTAAAAAAAAAAAAAAAAAAAAAAAAGCTTCCGCTACACCTATCCCGAGCTATACTTTCGTAGCACTGAGAAATGGCTATTTACCGCGCCAAGTTCTGGAACTCCTCTCTCTGCTCTCTTCCCGTGCACACGTTGCCTTTGCTTGCTGTTCGAAACATGTTTCTTACAAACGCCCTTTTCGTGTGAGAGGGGTGAGAGGAGAGGTAATGAACCAAGATGTTTTTACTACTTGGCTTTCGGTACCACTTTGTAATGTATCCATTTTCTGATAGGTGAATTTGTACGTTCAAAAATGGAAGCCATTTTTCTTTCGGCTTTTTTCGGGTGAACTTGATATACTCTGACTGTGCGTTTAACAATTCGAAGCATTTGTTTATTTCCTCTTGTGTTGAGCAAAGGACAAAGCAGTCGTCTACATACCTACAGTAGAGTAGCGGTCCGAGATCAGTCACCGGTGCTTCCACCTTAGACATAAATGCAATGGCAAGTCTTGGAGCCAATCGTTGTCCCATTGCCAACCCTCTTATTTGAGCGTAGTACTTTCCAGACCATCTGAAGATTGAGCAGCTCAAGCATTCTTTTAAGAGTGCCATCAGGTGCTCTATCCTGAAGCCATACATGTTTATTTCTCCTTCGTGTTGTGTTAGGAGTTCGAATATGGCTTGCATTGCGGAGTCATTCCACACGTTTGTATAAAGGGCGGCAACGTCGAAGGACTCCATCACGCACACGCTGTTGGGCTGCGCAGTACGTAGACGATCCAGAAACATCTGGGTATTCGTAAGATGGGCTGGAATGTGTTTCAACAACTGGTTAAATATTAGGGTTAAAAACCATGTTATCTTGTCCGTTGGCCCGTCTACGCAGTTAGTGATAGGTCTAACCTTAAATAGTGATGGATCGTTGGACGCAAGATCATCGCTGGGTACCAACTTATGAGTTTTTATAAATAAGTACAAGACGGGCCATGCTGGTAAGTCAACTTTAAGTTGGGAGATAACTGATGGTTTTAAACCAGCAGTCCTTGCCATTTTGGCCCATTCGTGGTTTAGTTTTCAGTATTTACTTTTGAATTCCTCCTCAGATGATGGGCGATAAAGCGAAGCATCCTCAAGATGCTTTTTCGTTATCTCCACATCTAGCTGATGAGGAATTACGACAAACTCTCTACCCTTATCACTAACGGAAGGTCTTATGGTTTTCAAGACTTCAACTTTCAACTTCAAGACAGACTCCGCAAAAAAGCTAGAGGTGAAACGCTAAATAGGTGCGAACAACATCAAGTGGGGGCCCTACCAATAGCACCATTTCCTCCGACGTTCGTTAGACAACAAGAGCCTAATAATAAAGTTGATGTTAAATTTCAGATGTTTGCGAATGAAACTCTCAGTCCTCAATCACTATCGCGCGAAAAGATACAGCTCAAACCTCACTCCAGTGCAAAAACGTGGTATGCGAGAGGTACGAGAGCTGATAAGGTTGAAAACCACAAGACTTTCCGTTAGTGATAAGGGAGGAGAGTTTTGCGCGATAGTGATTAAGGACTGAGAGTTTCATTCGTAAACATCCGAAATTTAAGATCAACTTCATTATTGGGCTCTTGTTGTCTAGAGAACGGCGGAGGAAATGGTGCTATTGGTAGGGCCCCCACTTGATGTTGTTCGCACCTATTTAGCGTTTCACCTCTAGCTTTTTTGCGGAGTCTGTCTTGAAGTTGAAAGTTGAAGTCTTGAAAACCATAAGACTTTCCGTTAGTGATAAGGGTGGAGAGTATGTCTAAGGTGGAAGCACCGGTGACTGATCTCGGGCCGCTACTCTACTGTAGGTATGTAGACGACTGCTTTGTCCTTTGCTCAACACAAGAGGAAACGGACAAATGCTTCGAATTGTTAAACGCACAGTCAGAGCATATCAAGTTCACCCGAGAAAAGCCGAAAGAAAAATGGCTTCCATTTTTGAACGTACAAATTCACCTATCCAGAAAATGACTACATTACAAAGTGGTACCGAAAGCCAAGTAGTAAAAATATCTTGGTTCATTACCTCTCCTCTCACCCCTCTCACACGAATGGGGCGCTTATAAAAAACATATTTCGAACAGCAACCAACGTGTGCACGGGAAGAGAGCAGAGAGAGGAGTCCCTGAACTTGGCAGGACAAATAGCCATTTGTAATGGCTACGAAACTGTAGCTCAGGATAGGTGTAGAGGAAATCGTAGGCCTCCAAACGACAACTCTAGCGATAGAACGGTCCCGTTTATCCTACCCTTCATCTCAAATGATATAAGTACAGCTATAAAACGCTGCTTAAGAAGGGCGGGCTTAGAGAATTCGGTGAGCGTAGTTGAAATACCACCGAGTAATCTTAAGCGCCAGCTAGTTCGTAACCGCCTATATGACCGTCTATGTGCAACTCAAAATTGCATAATTTGCCCCAGTGGTAGAGACGGTGATTGTATGAGCTCGGGTATAGTTTATCTGATCTCCTGTAAGACATGTGGTGACGAATACATTGGCGAAACGGGTGGACCCCTCTGTGTCCGCATGAAAGAACACCTAGCCGGCAAAGATAGACCAAATACCCCGCTAGGCACGCATAGGACCCAGAGACATAACGGGGACGACTTCGAAGTATGTGTCACGATCCTCGCACGCGAATCAAGAACAGAGGCGCGAAAAACTCTCGAGGCACTCTGGATTAATTCCAGANTATAAAACGCTGCTTAAGAAGGGCGGGCTTAGAGAATTCGGTGAGCGTAGTTGAAATACCACCGAGTAATCTTAAGCGCCAGCTAGTTCGTAACCGCCTATATGACCGTCTATGTGCAACTCAAAATTGCATAATTTGCCCCAGTGGTAGAGACGGTGACTGCATGAGCTCGGGTATAGTTTATCTGATCTCCTGTAAGACATGTGGTGACGAATACATTGGCGAAACGGGTGGACCCCTCTGTGTCCGCATGAAAGAACACCTAGCCGGCAAAGATAGACCAAATACCCCGCTAGGCACGCATAGGACCCAGAGACATAACGGGGACGACTTCGAAGTATGTGTCACGATCCTCGCACGCGAATCAAGAACAGAGGCGCGAAAAACTCTCGAGGCACTCTGGATTAATTCCAGAAATCCGAAAATGAACCGCAGGGAAGAATGCCTCATTATCACGCGTAATATAGGGCAGTATATAAAACTACTTTTCTGATGTGAGGGGCACATTACACTTCCACGTGATTTCTGTGCGGTTGGTCTCTACGTGACATACTTAGTGGAAACCTCATAGAAAGCGGTGAGTGTGCAAAGCTGTGTTCAAAGTAATTGAAATCTTGGTTTGGAGTTTCTTTGTTTGGTTATGGAAGCGTCTGGCCGAGTAGTTTGCTATCAACTTGAACTTTCCAGGCTCTGAGGAAGGCGAAATCCGCCGAAACATCAGCTTAATCGTGAACAAAGAATAATAATACCTCGCGTTTGCTCAACAAAAATACGAAGAAAATTACTTGATCAATGCCGAGGTTAATAGAAAGTCGGTCGCGGCAGTTACTGAATACTGGTCTGTAGCAAGCTGTAAAAATGTAGCATAAACTTTGTTTTCATATTGTCATCTGACTTAACTGCCCTTTCACAAAAAGTTTCTAAAACTTTATACATTAATAGCGCTAATCAGAGTGTTTGAAAGATTTCAGATTCACTATCGGACATCACCAATTTTCTTCAATGACACAGTGGATCCAAATCTCTCCTATTTCTGTCCTAATGGCAAACCCCGTGCAGATTGGTTAGTAAACCCCTCAACTTGGTAGTTGTTTGAGAAATCCAGTTTTAAATATTAAAGGTACGTTTCGCAAACTTGTCCTGACGAACACCTAATACTTCACACACCGCCTCTCGTCTTTGATTTAACGAGGGATCCTTTTGAACGCTTTGCACTGGAAGAAAGTCAACTTGTTCTTGAAGTAAGAAACCATAGTCATTTGAGTTTCCTAGTTGACCCTGACATCAGTTACTTTTACACATACAAATAGAATTATTTGCCTTTAGATGAGAGCTCTTGCTGCTCAAATTTTAAGAGAGCATCGTGAGTCGTTAGTGCCAGTGCGAAGCCAACTAGGCCATTTCGATCAAAAGGTATTTTTCCTTCGATTTTTTTTAGCACTGAATTTACAAATTGACAGACGTATCACTATCCTTTGGTTATTTTTAACATATGTTCATAAACTATGCGAGCATGGGAACGAGTATCTCCTTTTGCACCTGGCTTCATCTCATGAAGCAAATGCGTTGATCGTGATGTTCATAAAATTAATTGCAGGCTTTTGAAGCAGCTCCACCTTCTCACTTTTTAGTACATTAATTTCCAGTTTAGCAACAAACCGTTCTACTTTTTTTTAAAGCACTATTGGTGTAGTACATTACTAGACATACCCTTTGGAGCGCGCTCTATAACACTGTTGTCATTCATCTTGCTAATGTACCGTGCAAATTCTCAAGGATAGCTTAAAGTAAGGAAAAGAGGCAGCGCCAAATTCTCCATGTATGCTTTATATCGATGCTCGAAAGCTCTTCGGTTTGAGTCATTGTGGCTCCGAAAAAACGGGCACATCAGAACGTTCTTCGAGCTCGTCAATAGAATAAAATACCATAAATAGCGTTCAAACTTATGATAAACTCAAACAAACTCTCACATGTGCAGATATACGAAAATATCCTGATCCAACAAAAGTACGGAGTTTAGCTGTGAATTCACCTAGTTCTAAGTGAAAGTATAACATGGCCTAAGCATTTAACACTTCTCTGCGGAGCGTAATATAGTCTAGGGTCTTTCTAGCTAACGATCTCTCTGCGTATGTAATCTGTAGTTCGTGGATGTACACTTCAGTAAATCTCTCTTGTGGGATATATCTCGTCTACGAAATGGGGAGCACTAGTTTGTCCATTGATCCATCTCTTCCAGAAGTAATTTTATAAGCTAAAGTTCACGGCCACTGCCTTAACAAATTTTATTAATGAAGCACTAGCGCCTCAGGAAGGTCGACGTCGGGAAGGTTAACTTCCAATTCGTATGATGTTGAAACACTGATGAAGTTTGTATTCGAAAATTTCAGCTGACTCCCTGCTGTGATCCTCCAAAATGTGACTGTGACAAACTGAAAAATAGACAGGAAAAGGTAAAGCTTATTTGATTGTGGCTTTTCAAAAATCGCATTCTTCGAAAGAAAACAAAATCTGCACATTACTGTTTCCACTTTTTTATAGAGTTGACTAAATCTTGATTTTGCTATATTTTTGTTTTATCGTCGTGCTGAAGTTAGTTTTAAATGTATGCTGTTTAAAGTTCCTGTTTGCAAAACTTGATTTGAGTGCAACTACGAAGACACTACAACTTTCTCCTTAGAGTAGAACTCAACGATAGTTTCTGCAGAGTTTTTACTTTCTTGTACAATTGGACGGTCCATCCTCACTGGTTGTGTGGGGCCCAAGCATGATCTCCATTATTCGGAGTTCTACTGGTTTAGCTATTGTGTTTTCCTGGAGTTCCGAGGTCAGCCTAGCCAAAGCCTGCCCCAGGTCACCACCACAGGCAGTCACAGCCCTTGTGAATTAGGAGGAGATTTGCCACCACACGACTAGTTTGATACCAAGACGGTGGTCGATCCTGGTACTGGTTTACTATTATCTAAGCTATCTGAGGGAAAAGCCGGACCCCTTCTTAGCTTGGGAAACCCTACCGGGGGTAATGCCCCCGCTGTACATCGCATGGAAGGTTCTAGAGATTCCAATTAATATTAGTGCATAAAATCCTTCCAAATCACAAAACTATCTATTTGGTCAGAAAAAGGTATATTTTGAAGCTGTAATTTACGCTAACTGAAAAACCCACCATCCAGCTCACCAGCGACATAGGGATGTAGTCTTTTACCAAACGTTCATATTAAAGAATTTGGCGCTTCGATAGGTTTATTTATGTCCTTTCAGAAAACCCGAGATCCGATAACAATACCCAGATCAGCCGTCGAAATTTTAGACCTGTCAATATAGGAAAGCGAAGATAATGTCTATTAACGAACCAAATCTCATTGTGCTGTTGATGACACTGATAGTCAGGATTCGTCTGATTTGCTTACTTTTTTATTAGTTCCACCGACCGACCTGGTGATCTCGACATTTTATAGTTTTATTCTGCCTATAAGTGTACCATCGTTTTTTCTTCACATTGACGAAATCGCGAAAAAAACGATGGTCGATTTTCCAAGCGGGATTTGAACAGATGTAATCGGCTAAGACAGATGTGTGTATATCTAGCGATGCAGCCCGTTCCTTCGTAACCTTTCTTTAACCTGGTAATCTGATTCAATCTGTGTTGTGCACTGTGATTTTTGCATAAATTCGCTACAATAAAAACTATTTATGCATAACATTTCCAAACTGTGGACAAATTGCAAGGAAAGAATCGATGAGTTACTGCCAGCGGTCCAGCAATAAGAATTCATTACCCCACTAACCTCTAGAACTGATTTACGTAATTTTCGAAGGCGATGTTTAGCTGGAAACACTGAGAGGCTTCAGTGCTACATGCTTCGATCTACCCCGTAAAATGAACTTTGGTTCAGGGTCAAAGCTTTGTTTCAACCGAACTTAGACATGACATGTTCTATTCACTAGTTAAATGTTTCAACTAGAAATCATATTTTTTGTTATTGCTAAATTCCATCCCACATTTGGGAAAGAAACCCTAAGATGTCATCTCATCTGGTTTTTAAATGTTTCGGCATACGAGTAAGCCATAAAGGATAAATCTGTCGCCGTTGATCAATCTGTGATGGATGTGCCATGCATTCGATTTCATTAAGACTCGTTTGGAGAATGAATGCACATCTGGCCTTTAGATAACTCGCGGCGACCTACCGATATGTCGAGCCAGTACTGCTATCCTCCCAGACAAGTTTGGAATCAATTTGTCGACTCCGGAGAGATGGAAGGCTTTGTGAGCCATGGGCGTGGAGATCCATCCCATGTGTTTAACTAGGAACTATATTTATTGGTATTGCTAAATTCTATACCATATTTGGGAGAGAAGGCCTAAAATGTCATCTCATCCGGTTTTCTAAGTGTGTTGGCATATGAGTAAGCCATAGTGTTTCGCATTGCTACATTATTTTCCTATATAACGAACCACATCGTCCATTAAGAGACATTTGGTTGTAATAGGCAAAAAGAACGGCTTCGTTACCAGACAGTTACTCACGATTGAGAAACATCCGGCTACAATGCCTGTCAAAACTATGTCCGCCAAACTATTTCGCCTAGGGCATAAAAAAGAATATTGTGATTACCGTGCTTTACAAAAAGAACTGCTACCTTAAATCTCACTGAGTTAGTACGAGAAATCCATCTTAGACTCTTACCGTGAATCATTTCTGCGTTTTCACTTAAAAATTCAAGGTTCTGGTGCAACAGTATTATCCCAATTCAAAGAAATCCACATTACAACGACTAACAGTTGGTGTATTAATCTGTCCTAGAAGAGCGACAATAGCATTCAGGTCACTACACTGTGTGGAGTTAAATATGAACAGAATAACAAGAAGCTTTATTAGAAAGATGAGCTAAAAGCCAGAAAATCATCTGCACGATCTGATTCTCTACGATAACCTTAAATAGCTTTATTCACTACGCAACATGGATATTTTCCTATGAAATAGTGCCGAACGATAAATGAGCTTTCCACACATGGTAGGTGTGATTCGTTTACAAAACAGTTCAAAGAGTAAAAACTCCTTCGAAAATCATATTTAGCGAATGACATTTTCTCCCATTTTCCGCCGAAGGATAAAACAATGCCGATAGAAATACAACCCAAAATAACATTGAGAGTCAGATGGCAAAGGATTTTCATGCATCAAATGTGTATCCAAGCAGTCTGACATCTTCTAAGTTGTAAAATTTTGTTTTTCTCAAAGTAATCCTTTACTATTAATATTCTTTAACAAATTTTTAAAATAAAACATAATTACCTAGACATTCACACACAAATCAATCTGCCTTTAAAATGTATAAGAAAGGATTCAATTGCTCTGGGCGAACAGCCGACGTCTTGGAATCAACTGAAATAATTGAAAAGCAAGATCTAATGGATAGTTCCCTGTAGTATTTAAAACTGGGAAGATAAAACTTATGATTTCCCTCCTATTCCACAAAATACTTTAGGAATGAACATGACCCTTGAGGTGAACAACCTAATTGACGGCAGGACAGTGTGCGAAATACATCCACAACGGTGTTGAGATATTTGCAAAACTTCATTGACGGGTGATTGCTGATGGCGGTGATCGATAGAAACTAGCTGGAAGACAGGCAAGACGAAGGACCCGCATGGTGTGGTGGTGAACGCGTTAGCCTCCAGAAAGGACCTAATTGACATTTTGAACAATATTGATGTACTTGATGATGTATGAAGTTACGTGGTAAACATCAACTACCTCCGAAAAAATCACTGCAAGATAATTTTGCGGCAAAAAGGCATAAAGAAGATTTTTCTTCAAGTCTCCAGTTTCCTCATTAGCATAGAACGAATAGAATGAGAGATAGCGCTATGAATTCCTGCAGAGTTAGATGGATGACACTGCAGTAAATTTAAGGAGACAATTTTATTCGTCCAGTTCGAATTAATTCTAAAGCCTTTCTGTTTGATTGGAGCATACTATCACATTTGGAGCCAGACTAAAAAGTGGTACAGCAGAATTCGTGATAAGTGAAAAGCCCTTACCCGGAATGAGGCAATTCTTCCATTCATCTGTAGTTAATCGACTATTCGAGTCAGTGTCGCAAGTCTTGAATAAATTCCTCGAACAGTGCTTCACCTTTTTCCACTGAATGATTGCGTTTTTGTAAGGCTTCCATTCATTCCGCTCCAAAACCTTAAACTGATAATAACTGAGCTTCATGATATCAGACAGCACGTTTACACGTAGTATTAACGAGAAAGCTATCGGGATTTGCGCTATGTCTCAGTGGTGATCATGAGTTAGACAACACCTCCGTGTTCCTTCTATAACAGTCATGGGCCTTCGGCTCAAAGCAATTTAGTACAGTCTTCCCTGTTAATATCGTTCATTTGGTCACATGCTTTAGTTAAATCATGTGAAAGACACAATCTCCATTCTCCTAAGCACATCTATCCGTATACATAACCTGTATGCAAGTATAAGACGACGTACTCCAATTATGCACTAGTTAATGGACATGTTGGGAAAGGTTATGATAGGCGTCTATTTGCCCGTGATACCAATGTCTTTCAGCAAACACGCGACCACCCTTGATTTTCCAGAGGTTGGGAAAAACAAAAGAACTCGGCCACAGTTTAAAAATGGCAATGTTAGTTTGTTCGAGATTGAGCGAAAAGGTTTCATAGTTCGAAAACATGTGGAGTTGAGGACGTCAAGGAGCTATGGAAAAGGCTTTCCTTCACTTATCTAGAGGTATAGCATTGTTACTGGATGTTACCTTTTTTAACGACACTTCACCTGTCTACCACGTTGCTGTCGGAATTTCGAATAATTTTACCACTTATGCTCAATGGGTACCGCGACATTTCTTATATCCGCCCGCCCCATGCGAAAACCACATACCATCGCAACAAATGGGAATAAAAAAAGAATTAAATTAATAGAACTAGCTGAGAGACGTGCGAAACAAAGGACCCGCATGGTGTGGTGGTGAACGCGTTACTCACGGAAAGGACAACAGCGCGTTCGTTCCCTACCATAGACACCTGCGGTCCAGAGTTTTGCAAATATCTCAGCAACGTTGTGGTTGTATTTCGCTTAGTACCCTGCCGTGAAAATTATAGAAGGCAAAAAATGAAAGGTAAAACAAAAAGAATTATTGTTCAGAAACTGATCGTTTGATGTCCTACATAAGGGACAATGCCGATTTCCTAATAATGCCCGACAGTTTTCGGTAGATAAAGAACTTAGCAGCTCGACGCAACTGTAAAAAAGGTTTTACTTTATGCTCTAACGAAAAGTGACAACTTTTCCGACAGGTGGTTTTCATTTGGGAACATGGGAACTGCAGTGTGATGCCGTTCATTACGTGAAAGACACAACCTAGTCTGGCTAGTTCGACTCTGCTCTGAGCCCACCAAGTCTCCTATCTCTCCAGAGTCGGTAAATTGGTAACATTTGTTTACTACTAGCTGACTTCCTTTAATCTACATGAAAACGCTCTGGCACAGCTCTAACCAGAAAAAATCGGGTCGACAAGCATTCAACGACATTCATAGCGAAGATGAAAATCCTCAAGCACCAGCCTAACCGTTATGGCAAAAACTAAAAGACCTTCGCGATTGATGGATGTAAAGAAACAGATCGAATGCAAAAAGTGCTGACGTCCGCACAGTAGATATGAAGAGCTATGTAATGCCAATCTCAGATCATGTGCAGGTGTCAGGCCTTTTTTCATTCGGATCATCGCCTTTCCTCCGTCGTCCATGAAGGTTTACGGATTTGTGCGTAGGCTTCGCTGCAACTTGGTCATACGTCTTATTTATGAATGTCGTCAAATGCTTGCTGAGTCCCACTCTAATCCAGTGCTAACATTGCTATAAGATTCCCAGATCTTTATTAGTGGCAGTATCCGGCCAGCAGGCGTTGTAGATCGGAGAGATGATATACTTTAGCTTTAACGCGAACTATGCAAAAATAATGACTACCTTCAACTTTAAACAAGTTTCAACCCATACTGAATTTTATTAGCTGCATAAAAATACTATAATAAATAGATTACAATACACAGACCTTAACATACAAAAAAGAGTCTTTTTATTCTAGGACGGAACTTGGATTTTTCTGAATTCGACGGAACATACTTTTTCAAATTATCGTCAATACATGTCTCTGAGACAAAAGAGATTTCAAAAGAAAAGGATCCCGTACACTACGCCAAGATTGTGTTCCTATCTTGTATTTTTTGTTCCCGTAGCTGTAGCAATTGTGTGGGAATTTCGAAAAGATCCATGTTTCGTTTTCAAATGATTCGAAGTTTTAATCCTAAGCAAATTTATAACTGAAAAAATATGTTATGAAAGATCCTGCTTAGAATTAAGGTGATAGAGAAAATCTCTTCTATAACTCTAAGTTCTCACCTCCCCCACTACTCCATTAATTGTTTCGATTCCCGTATTCTTTAATTAATATCTACTTCCTGTCTGAAAAGTGTACGCTGAAGCCACCAACGAAAACTTTTATGCAAAGGAGACGATGTATTTATCTCGCGAAACGCTTGTAATGATTTACAGCTACTATGTTAAATTTTGAGTTGTTGTAGCTCAGTGGTTAAAGGCGTTGTGCAATACGCCTATGAGCCGTTGCTTCAATCCTGCTCTCCAGACCCACCAACCTCTTTACGCCCCTGGGTTCGGCAAGCTGCCACCGGACTAGTCTGGGAGGACGGCAACACTGAACTGACAAATCGCTAAGCCACCGTAAATTATTAAATAGGACAAATATGCATTCAATCACCTCTCATGATGAAGTCGAATGCATGCTCGATATCCCAGCGATTTATCACCGCCTAAAGGTCTATCCTTTCATCCTTTTGCGCCGACTTTTTCGCGAGTTGTGAAAATATTTTCGTTCATTTCATGTCAAGTTTGAAATCTATCCAAGAGGTTCACTACGAAGCGGGAGTTTCGTAAGGAAACGTTATAAAGACTAATAAATGATCCTCGATGGCACAAATAAAAAGTGTCTTTGCAATTTTTAGCGAGAAAATAATTATACAAACAATCGTCTTTTCTCATAAGTGTAGAACAGTTAGACCTCACTTGATCTTCGTTCACATCTAGCTGACCAAATTTCCATCTCACTGCTGCGTCCCGTCCGATGCTTTCGGCAACGGTATTTCCTAAAACTATTGACATAATCAAGTTGAAAAAGCACTATTTTTACCTGAAAATTCTTATAGTCATTAGTTAACTTGTTACTAACAAAAATATAAGTGTGTAAATCTTGAACTAGCCAGAAACTATCAGTTATTACGGAAATTTTGGCAGCAGGTAATTACCAGAACTCTCACTACTACAAAGAATCGTGTAAAGCCCATTAAACACTAAGTTTTACTGAACAGTACACAGCCATTAACGAATTGCAATATGTAAGCTGGATGCTGGTAGCGATGCGGCGATATTGTTGAACAGTGCACACGCGGCCTTGGTTTGAACCCACACATGGCCAACCAAGCATTGCATCCCTCCGTGCTCGAAAAATTGGTTCCACTTGGCTTCCTCCAAGCAAGGATGGCTTATGACTACCTGCCTCGATGATCTGGGAGCACCCTAGCAAGACTTCTCAAGATTCCACGGAGAATACTCTTGAGCAACATTCACTGACATTCATAGAGAAGATTGAAATCCTCAAGCAGAAGCCGAATCCACACGCAAATTTAAACACCTTAATGGCCGATAGGAATAAGAAAGCAAACAGAATGAAATAAATGCTAGAATTACTAAGAATGTTGAGTAAATTGAAGAGGAAAAACCGTAATAAATCAGTAGTTATGTTAGGTATATCAGAGGAATTTCTTTGTGGTTAGCAAGCTACGGAGTGGAAATGGATGCGATCTCTTACCTATGATATTCACAAAGATCCGTTACCTAAAGCGTCACATTCCTTATAAAGCAGACATTTTCAAAAATCAAGAGCTTTTAAAAACTCATCAAAAAAATTGGGAAAAAAATAGTGGAAGACAGTTATTTTGTTTCACCCTTGTTTAGAGGACAACCGGTTGTCAACACCGTTAAATTCCTCACTCTGCAATTTCTGTTCACCTCTACATTTATTCTCACCTGTCATAATCATTTCAGCTTTGATGGTCGATACCAGGCGACGTAAAAATCGCAACCGTTTTCTCCCTAAACACCCTAAAATACGAAGATGAGCGATTCATTGGGTGAAGATAGCGATAACTTGAGGAAGTTATCACGTTTTCGATGTTTCTTCGAAATATGCTGTGGCTTTTTGTCTTCACAATGTGGCTTCTCATTCATTAATGAAGTTCCTGAAAAAATACGTTATTATATTTAACAAACAAAAGAAGTATTTTTGAAAATTGACGACGGTCGTTTTCTTGTTCAGCAATCGCGAGGTTTTTAAACAGCATACATTTACTTCCATAGAAAAACACAATACAACACTAGCCGACGTTTCGGCAGTATCACCTTCTGTAGAACCGCATTTTACGTGACTTCCAATGAGGAAGTTTAGAACAGCTGATTATAGTCGCATATGGTTGATGATTGCACCATCCTGCATCAGAAATTGATGCGAACATACGGGGCCACGCGGCGTGTGATCTCTGGGCATTCCTTCCTGCTATTCGTTGTGGGACTTTTGCCATTTATCCAAAAAGCCTCTGCTTTTCAAGAAGCTGTTGAACATGTAATTACCATAGAGTTTTCCCTCTTTTTGTAAGTGTTATTGAAGCGTTTGGCCTAGTAGATTGTATATCAGCATGCCCTTCCAGGCTCTGAAGAAGGCGATACTGCCGAAACGTCATCTAGTGTTGTACTGTATTGTGTTTTTCTATGGAAGTAAATGTTTGCTGCTTAAAAACCTCACGATTCCTGAACAAGAAAATGACGCATTCATATTCCAATGCTGAGGTTAATAGAAAGTCGATCCTGGGAACTATTGACGACGGTGTCTAATCTTGTGTGGTGGGGGGTGTCTAATGTTGTGGCGGGAGCACGGGAAGGGAAGTATAATCTCCGACCGCTCACGCCATGAGTCTCTGAGAATGTCGGCACAAGCGCTCCTTCCCAGCAAATGATCTTACCTATTCTATTGCTTTTCTCGCTCTAAAACGGTGGTGAAACTAGCAAATCTCCGGAGAATTGAAATTAGGCTGTGGCTTGCACAACCAATGAAGACGGGCTATCCGAGTATCCAAATAAGTAAGAAGTTTTATGCCTATACTTTTGGAACATATCGAATAACACTTGTGTGTGGAAAAACTCTGTAACCATCCAAGCTCTGTCATCTTTTAATAGGTTTTGTATGATATACACAGTGTATTTTGAAAATTGGTGATACGGCTGGAAATGAAATTACAATAAGCTATTGGCTAAGAATTGATTTTCATAGGCTTGAATCGTGTTGGCAACAGACGAATTAAGTTATATAATGCTGAGATATTTGAAAAAACTCCGGACCGCAGGTACTAGCGGTGTGAACGAACGCGCTTTTGTCCTTTCCGGGAGGTTAACTGGCTTCAATGCCGATTTAGGTTTCCCAAATCAATCCCGTTGACGGGTGATTGCAGATGGCAAGTGATCGATAGAACTAGCTGAGAGACAGACGAAACGAAGTACCCACATGGTGTGGTGGTGAACGCGTTACACCCCAGAAAGAGCAATAATCCGTTCGTTCCCCACCGCAGACGTCCGCGGTACGGAGTTTTGCAAATATCTCAGCATTATAAAGGCATAACAGTTCTATCAAACTTCCTCAACACATATATGCACAGAATATTCCCGACGTGGCACCGACCTCTGCACGATGTGCGCAATGATGTATGTCCGGAAGAAATATAAGTTGTTACCACCGGACATTGTCATTATATATCCACCATCAGCATCGTGTATAAAAGGGCATCACTGAGTGAGGATGCCTCGTTCGAGAAGATGGCTCGCTGAGGAAGATCTGGCTCGACAGGAAGGCGAAGACGCAACGTCGAGGCGAGCAACTAGCATGGACCATCGACTCGGATCATCGGCTCTGAGGAAGACGAAGACGTCGAAACGTTAGCCGAAAATAAATATATTTATCA